GCATCCTCAGAACCTGTCTAACACGCCCTCACGCGCCATTTTTGTCGCCGGCGCGTCACCTGCTTCCGTCTTCGACGTTACACGCGCTCCACGCGTCCACCAGTCGATTGAAGCCATCTCTCCCCGCATATCACGCGCTACACGCATATGCACACCGCTGAAGCCGTTCCTTCCGCGCGTGTCACTCGCTCGCGCCGCACACGCCTCGCGCCACTTTCGCCTTCGGCTCGTGCCCCTTGCTCAGTTCGGCTCCAGCCGGTTCAGCTCAAACTGGCTTATCACCTTTTCAAGGCTGGTTCAACCCCATTTTTGGCCTTTTTTGGCTGGTTCAGACCAGCTCCCCACTAATTTTGCCCTTCTGCATTCATTGGTACCCTCGATTTTTTCAGATTCTACCTCGATTGTGCTGTTTTTCCCTCATGGATCGCCTGGACTCCTCTAACCACCCTATTTCTGTTGTTCTTGATGGGACTAATTATGTCCTATGGGCACAAGCCATGTTTGACTTCCTCAAAGGAAAGAAACTTTGGCACATCATCACTAGGGATGTGTGCAACCCCATCCAAGAGACCACCGAATCCGCTGCCCCGGACTCCGCTGCCAAATATGTCGATCGACTAGAAGATTGGGATAGTAAAAACTATCAGATCATCACTTGGCTTCGCAATACTTCTATTACATCTATTAGCCGGCAGTTTGGTCGGTTCCAACTTGACTCTGCTTCCTCTCCAGCCAAGGCCATCTGGGATTTTTTACAAGAACGCTATCAGACTACTAGCCTTGCTCACCAATATCAGCTTCTGAGTCATCTTCACCGTATGTGCCAAGATACAACTCAGACCATTAATGATTTCCTCTCCAAAATGTATTCTGTTTGGGATCAGCTAGCTCTTTCTGAACCTCCACGGCCTCATACTGAGGATGTTGCCTTGTTTACTACTTACCGTGACCAACAGCGCTTGGTTCAGTTTCTCATGGCTTTCACTCCTCATTTTGAGCCAATACGCGCATCTCTCCTTCATCGCAGTCCTTTACCCACTCTTGAGCAAGCAATTGCTGAACTACTGTCAGAGGAAACAAGGTTTGGTCCTCTCCATCCGCACCCTGTGGACTCTGTTCTTGCTACTCTCCAGATTCGAAGTTCTCCTTCACCGCCTTCACCACAGAGGTCAACTGCCTACAACTACTGTCACAACCGCAATCTTCCATCGACTCATCTTCTGGTTAATTGTCCAGTTCGCCTTTGTCGGTTTTGCAACAAGACTGGCCCTGGTCATCTCCAACAAGATTGCTTCCACAATCCCGCCCGTGCCTCTCGCAATGGTCCTTCCACCTGGAATTTTTCACGCAACAACTCTCACCGTTCTGGGACTCCGCTTAAACCAATGCCTGTTCAACGCACTGCTGCTGCTGCCACCTTAAAGGATTTACCTTCCTCTGTCCCTATAGACCCTTCCACTCCAGTCTTCTCTCAAACCGATGTCGAAGCCATGTTTCAACATTTTTGGCAAAATTCCAGTACTCCTCCATCTATTGCTTTGTCTGTCACCGCAGGTAACACTTCCTGGTACTTTGACTCCGCTTGTTGTAATCACATGACCTTTGACCCTACTATTTTTACTACTCTCTCTTCTAATCCTCATGTTCCTTCTATCCATACTGCTGATGGGTCTCTTCTGTCTGTAAGGCATGTTGGTTCTGTTTCCACCTCTCACTTATCTTTATCCTATGTATATCTTATGCCTGCTCTTACTTTAAATCTTATCTCCATTAGTCAATTATGTGAGCATGGTCTAACTGTTACCTTTTCCCATACTGGTTGTTTGGTGCAAGACCCTCGGACGGGACAGACTCTTAGGATAGGCCGTAAGCATGGCCGTCTCTATGAACTTATCCATCTCCATGTTCCAGATTCTTCTCAGATCACAGCTCCTACCATTGCTCCTCTTGTATCTCCTTTTCAGCTTTGGCACTGTCGTTTAGGCCATCTTTCTGTTGGTCGGTTAAAGTCTTTAATTTCTAGTAGTCATTTAGGTCCTGTCAGTTCTGATACTTTAGATTGTTTGTCCTGTCAACATGCCAAACAACCTGCTTTATCGTTTAATAAAAGTGACTCTGTTTCTCTTGCACCATTTGATCTCATCCATTCTGATATTTGGGGCCCCTCTCCCACTCCTACTATGGGCGGCGCACGTTATTTTGTTGTGTTTTATAGACAATTTTTCTCGTTTTACATGGTTGTTTCTTATGAAAAATCGCTCTAAGCTCAAACAACTTTATTACAATTTTGCTGCAATGGTTAAAACCCAATTTTCTAAGACTATTAAGCTTTTTCGCTCCGACAATGCCATGGAATATAAAGATTTTGACTTTCTTTCCTTCCTTCAGAGTCATGGTACTCAACCTCATCGTTCCTGTCCAGGTACGTCTCAACAAAATGGACGTGCTGAACGGAAACATCAACATATTCTCAACAGTACTCGAGCCCTCCTTCTCTCTTCCTCTTGTCCGGAAAATTTTTGGGGAGAAGCAGCTCTTACTGCTGCTTACACTATCAATTGTATCCCTACACCTGTCATTCATAATCACACTCCCTATGAGCGTTTGCATGGCACCCGTCCCCCTTACACCAACCTTAGGGTTTTTGGCTCTGCCTGTTTTGTTCTTCTCCAACCTCATGAACGTACCAAACTTGAACCCCGTTCCCGCCTTTGTTGCTTCTTGGGGTATGGTATTGAACATAAGGGGTATCGATGTTGGGATCCTCTCTCACAGCGCCTCCGTATCTCTCGTCATGTGGTCTTTTGGGAACACAAAATGTTTTTTTCTCTCTCTCTCTTCCGCTTATCTGTTCCCTCACCCTCTCTGTGTTTTACTGACCCTTCCACCGATTTGTTTTCTGATGAGCTTACTCCACCGCCCCTGCCCGCCTCTCTCGAGACTGCCTTGCCTACTGGTCTTTCTCACGCACCTGCCCGCTCTGATGGTCCTGCTCTTGCTCTCTCGGACTCCTCACCTCCTGTTGAGTCTCTTCCTCTGGCTCCTCCTCCTCCTGCTCGACCACACCGAGTAATCCAACCTTCTACTCGTCTTCGTGACTTTATTGTTGGTTCTACTGTTTTTTCTACTTATGAACCTACCTCCTATCGGGAGGCTCGCTCTAATCCTCTTTGGCAGCAGGCTATGACTGATGAATTGTAGGCTTTAGACAAAACTCACACTTGGGACATTGTTGATCTTCCACCTGGCAAGACTGCCATTGGCTGCAAATGGGTATACAAAATCAAAACTTGTTCTGATGGATCTATTGAGCGCTACAAAGCCCACCTTGTTACCAAAGGTTTCAACCAAGAATATGGTATTGACTATGAGGAGACCTTTGCTCCTGTTGCTCGTCTCACCTCTGTTCGCAGCCTGATTGCAATTGCTACCACCCAACAATGGGATCTTTATCAAATGGATGTGAAAAATGCTTTCCTTAATGGTGTTCTTCTTGAGGAGGTATACATGCAACCTCCCCCTGGGTCTACTTATTCACCTCCTAAAGTCTGCAAACTTCAGCGTGCTTTATATGGTCTCAAACAAGCTCCACACGCTTGGTTTGCCAAGTTCAGCTCTACTATTCATGACTGTGGTTTCACCTCCAGCTCTTATGATACTGCTCTTTTTATCCGAAAAACTGCTCAAGGGGCCACCTTGCTTCTCCTTTATGTGGATGATATGATTATCACCGGTGATGATATCAATGGTATTCTTCGCCTTAAACAGTTTCTTAGCCATCATTTCGAGATGAAAGACCTTGGTCCTTTCAGCTATTTCTTGGGTCTTGAAATCTTCCATGATTCCACGGGTTCTTTTCTCTCTCAAGGTAAGTATACCTCTGATCTTCTCACATGTGTCGGTCTTACCGATTGCAAGACTGCCTCCACTCCCCTGGAGCCTCAGAGTCGTCTTACACCTCTTGATGGCACTCTTCTCTCTGATGCTACCCTATATCGTCAGCTGGTTGGCAGTCTTGTCTATCTCACTGTTACTCGTCCTGATATTGCCTATGCCGTTCATATTGTCAACCAGTTTGTGTCGGCTCCTTGTACCCCTCATTATGCTGCATTAGTTCGTATCCTTCGCTATCTCAAAGGCACCATGTTTCATGGTCTTCATTATTCCGCCCGCTCCTCTCTCCAGCTTCGTGCTTTCTCCGATGCTGATTAGGCTAGAGATTCTACTGATCGCCGCTCTACTACTGGGTTCTGCTTTTTTTTGGGTGATTCTCTTATTTCTTGGCGCAGCAAGAAACAATCTCTTACTGCTCGTTCCAATACCTAGGCCGAATACCGTGCTCTTACTGATACTACTCAGGAGCTTCTCTGGCTTCGTTGGCTTCTTGCTGACATGGGTGTTACTCCCTCTAGCGCTACTGCCCTCTTTTGTGACAATCATCGTTATTGCCTCTGTTTAATTAGCTTAAGTATGAAAAAATTCACTATTGAGTAACTCAAGAGCAAAATAATTATATTTAAGCGAGATAGTTATTGATAGAACCCGATCGTTGAACAACCAAAAACTGTTTGTATAAGGAAAACAAAGAGTGAATTTGTGAAGAGGAAATTAGTCAAATATTCTTCAACAGTGACATGTCTGAAGGGGTAGGGATGGGAGTGGGAGTATATAGAAGTTTCTAAGTTGGCAGTGCCATTGAGAACATGTATACATTCTATATATTAAATATATAAATATAAAACAAATATATTTTTCTACTTAGTTGTAATATGTGTTAAAATATGAAAATATTAGAGATTGATGTCAACTATAAATTGTCTTTGCTATGTATAAATAAACATTAAGTAAATAGAAACTAATAGAGTAAGTTTGAATTGTTATTGTTTTGTTTCTGTGAGATTTATATATTTATCTCATATGAGAGCAATTTTTTCACAAGTCTCTTACTTTGGAGTGCGGAGTTTTAATTAATGATGGAGCAAAAACACAAATCATATGAATTTGGGAAGAAGAAGAAGTCCATAGCCATAACATAAAAGGGTTATAGTGAAAACAAAGACATAAATGTTTATCCAATTCAAGTGCAAACAGCACCACAAACAAATCGTAGAAGAGCAGCGCGAAAATCCGATATACATTGCAAGAAGCAAAGATTTTTATAAAAGGGAAGAGGGAAAAAACAACATAAAACTGTACAACAACAGTTGGTTTGGATTGAGAGGCAAAACAAGAGAGGCATAATAATGGCGAAATGAAACCTAAACTTGGAATCCAGCGTAAAAAAGAGTAACAAATGGAGCGAGAGAAAGAACGTATTACACATGGAGAATTCAATTGGTTCGCTTCGAAGTCGAAGATGAAGATGAAGATGAAGAAACGAGATTCCTCCAGAGATAGCGGCCGCTAGCCATGTCGACGCTGGTCCAGAACCCAGCACCGATTGCTCCCCAAACCTGGAATGAAGAAAACAATTTCAATTTGAATGATGGAAAGAAAGCTGAAGAAGAAGAAGAAGAAGAAGAAGAAGAAACCCTAGAAAAAATCAAAGAGAATACCTTATTATTGAGGGAAGTAGCAGTGGGGGGTGGTTGGGGGGAGGATTCAGAGGAGGTAGGGTTGAGTGAATCTTGGGAGTGATCTTCGAGAATTTGAGGCTGAGATTTGAGGTTCTTCAGAACGAGAAACCCGGCCAGAGTAGCCGACAGGAAGATCAAAATCAGTCTCAGAGGGCACATTTTTCTCTCTCTCTCTCTCTCTCTCTCTTGCTTTGTTTGTAGAGAGAGAAAGTGTGATTAGTTTTGCTTTTTGGTTGGTGAAGAAGGGAAGAAAAGGATTGTTAAATAGTAACAATGATCAATGATGGAGGTGGGATTGGGGTAGAGTAGTTTGAGTTGAACGCTTCGCGTGAAATTGTCAACACGGTTTTGATTTTGGTTTTGATTTTGATTTTGGTAGGAATGCGAATGCAATATATTTTCATATCCAATGGATGGGGCCTATAGTACAGTCTACATGCGATGGCTTAGAGATGGAAAATTAATTACTTTTTAGATTTACCATTATCTTCTTTTTCAAACACTAAAAGTAAATAGATAATGTTATATGTACTAATTAGTATATCAACTAGTAATTAATACTAATTATGATATTATTATTGATCATACTCATTAATTACATTAAGAGAACAAGAAAAAAAATATATATATATATATGTACTCATTTCGTCTTAAAATAATAATTTTTTTGACAAATTTAATTTTTTTTAATAGTATAATTATTGTACTTTAAAAATATTAAATTTTTAAAATTACCTTTTAATAATATATTTTTTTTGAGAATATCTATTGTCATAATTGTACTTTGTATATTATTAATGAATTTAAAATAATGGAAAAATAAAAAATTCATATTATTTTAATCATTCATTTTTTAAAAGAGACTAATATTTTGGAATGATGAAAAATAGAATAAGAGACTAAGGGTGTGTTTGGTTTAGTTTTGGGAGACAAGTTTTCAAAAAAAAAATGGAGAAAGAGTTTAGAAATTTTTTTAGTTTGTTTGGTTCTATATTTTGGAAATAGTTTTGGAGTACGAGAGTTTGGGATAATTAGATATTTTGTTGTAATTGAGTAGATGTGTGTGAGGGAAAAAATGATTGATTGATATGTAAGAGATAAAGTGATTTTGAAATTTTTTTTTCCAAAATCACTAAACCAAACAAAATTTTAGAAAATTTTCTCTAAAATTTATTTCTCAAAAACAAACCAAACAAGGCATAATATTTTGGGACGGATGAAGCATATGTATAAAAAAGGAAAATTCAATTTCCATACACTAACTTATCTCAGTACACACATTTTAATGACAATTATACTTTAAAGTAAAATAACTATAATGGATATCAAAACCCTAACCAATCCATCTAATTTCTTCTCTCTCGTTGCCTTATTTCCTATCACTCAGTGAAAGATCATTCAATCTCTCTCTCTCTCTCTCTCTCTCTCTCTCTCTCGTTGCCTTATTTCCTATCACTTAGTGAAAGATCATTCAATTTCTTCCCAATTTTAGTTGATCAATCCACTGGAATTTTCTTCTCTCAAACCATACCATTCACTGCCATTTTTTTGTCATTCCATTAGAACTCGCTTGTAACCCTCTCATTTCCACGGTCTGTTTTAGTCAAAACCACCAAAGTCTTCTTCTCCTCATCTTTCGACTCGTGTTTCGTGCCATCAATTAGGTTTTCCTCCACCTTAGGTTTCTCATTCTTCTTCGAATCGCCAATCTTTCGTTTTTCATCATTAACCACGATCACTCATACTTGCAATTTCTCCAACTGATTGTGGAGATAAATTGTTCATATTCTCTTCATGTTTCTTGTGAATCTCTTTTTCAAGATTTTGTTCTTCCTTTCCCTTGCCTTTCCGCTTTCACTCCTCATCATCATCTTCTTCTTATTCTTCTTGATGAAGATACTTTACTAGAATAATGTTCAAAGCAAGACCAGTAGCAATTACATTAACCACAAAGAAAAGCGGTTAGGTTTTTTAGAATTACTTTACTAAAATTATTGTTCAATCATATCAAGCACACACCCATGTGTGTATACATTATACATGCACATACATGGCTTAGAAAAGCAAAACTCAGAAACAGAATTCAATCACAATTATTAATTCAATAAAGTAAATGGAAGAAAAAACATAGAATTCAGAATTAATCAAATTGATGAATCGGTGACGAGATCAGTGAGTTAATCAAATTGATGAATTCAAAATTAGTAATAATGATATTAGGATCGGTAAATTCAGAATCAATGGTTGTGTGAGTTTGTGATTCGATGAATTCAAAATCAATGGCTATGTGAGTGTGTGTTTGGGTGGAAAGTGTGTGTACAATATTTGAGTTAAGGGTTATAATTGGAATATGTGATGCGTGGAATGAGATAAATAACACTTGATCAAATTCATAAGGGTGTGCATTGAGAAATGATGTGCATTAAGGTAAGAGGGTGTCTGGAAACAAAATTTCCCTATAAGAAGCGCTTACCTACTTGAGGCTTGTACTTTTTTTCCGATTTTGTCCTTTTGTTTGGAATTATTTACTATTAGAGTCTTGCACTTTAATTTTTCCATTTTGCCCTTTATTTTGTATTATTTACTAATATTGGTGGTACTAATTTAGATGAAAGTTTTTTCGTAATTATGTAAAAATTCTTGGTCAATTATTAAACATAAATATTTTGATTTTGGATAAATTATAAATACACCCCCGAGTTTTTTTTTCTCCCTTTTATTTTGTATAATTTACTAATTGTAACCTATAATTTGACTTTTCCATTTTACCCTTTTCTTTGGTAATATTTACGAATATTGGTGGTACTAATTTGATTGAAGGGTTTTTCGTAATAGTGTAAAGATTCTTAATCAGTTATAAAACATAAATATTTTGATTTTGATTAAATTACAAATACACTTGAGATTTGTTTAAAATATGAAATGTCCTTACAATATTAGAAATTATAACTATTCCTTGTTGGGATCTTTAATTTAACAAAATAAACAGAAAAAATTTATAAAATAATAATAATAATTTGAATAAAATATGAAAAAAATTATTAAAACAAATGAAAATTCATCTAAGAATAATTTTTAAAAAATCAAACCAAACAAAATAATTTGTTATAAGATTTACATTTTAGAAATATAAATTTATTACAAGAATAGCATGTGCCTTGCATGGGTTTAAAAATAATTTTTACAAATGAAACCAAAACAAAGTTCAAGGGTGATACCATATGATCATTGGCGTGTAAAATCACCATTCGATTATTCCATCATAATAAAAAGTAATAACAAAAATTTATTTATTTGAACTAAAATTCTATCTCATCTATTTATTTCATAATTGTACCTTATGATAGAAATTAAAATTTCTATCATATATTTCATTTATCCTATTCAATTTTGTAGGAAACTAATCTTATTTTTGGAGAAAAAGTTTAGGTAGTGGAATGGAATGAAGTGCAATAGAAATGAAATAATTATTTTTTAATTTTTTATGGAATAATTATTATTTCTTTTACAATGTATTTTTTTGAAATGAATCAAATATAAAATAAATATTTTTACAAAAATTACATACTATTTTATTTGATTTAGTAAACTCAATAAAATATTAAAATCCAAGGTCCTAGCACGGGCCTTGTACACCAAAAAATATATATATAGATATATAGGAAAAGTAGGAGGAATACATTATCATATGATTGGAAGCAACCAAGTAATTACATTAGGCATGAAATACAGTAAAATCTTTGCATATAAGTGAGAATTTTTTTATAAAATTACAAAAATACTTGATTTTTTTTTATAAAATTACAAAAATACTCTTTCCTTTCTCTCTTCGGTTCTTTTCGAACATGTTTGATTAGTAGGATTATAATATAAGATTGGAATTGTTAGTCCGTAGATTCACAATTCGATATTTGATTATAAATTTTATTAATCAGATTACATGTTCGATAGACATTCAATCCGACAAAATTGACGAATTTTTAATATTGAGAGAGGCTAGGGATCATAATTTTTAAGTATAAAAGAAAAAAAAATTACATAATAAATAAATAATTATCTCACTAATTTAATTAAATAATTAATCATATACTAATTTATTAAATTATTAATCATTTCACTATTAATCCGATTAATCAAATAATACCTCCATTTCTTCTCTTTTCTCACCGTTATTTTTATTTTTATACTTTTTCCATTACCCTAATATCTTCATATTAACATCTGAATCTGATGGTCACAACCTTCATCATCTACAACTAATTCCCTATCAAATTCCTTTTCACAACGTCTTCACTCTATTCTCATCGCCACAATCGTCTTGCTTTCTTCTCTTCATCCTCTATCTTCTTCTTCTTTTTACAAACCCTAGTCGCCTATATAATCGCTTACACAAGTATGTTAAGAAGATGAAGGAATGAAACAAGAAATGATTATGCTGATATTGGAAACCGTGAGGAAGAATTGGGTGAGGCAGGCAAAGCGAAGGAGTGAAGCCGTGGACAGTGGGAAAGGTGGTTGTGCAATTTTATAAAATGATGTCCACTAATTTGCAATTTTTTGTAACTTTTCATTTGTAGTGTAATTTAGTTCCCTTCTTTTCATCAAATTATAATTATTTTGTCTTCTTCCCATTAAATTACAATTGTTTCGCAAAATAAAATAAAATAGTAAAAATTATTATTTTTTCATCATATATTCTCAATATTTTTTGAAATATAATGAGTTTTATATGTATAAGTATTATTTAATGCATATATATGATATTGAAAAAATAAAAATTCATTTATTGCACCAATACATGTATCGTTTTTTAAGCTTTATTAATTAATGACTATGTATATATATGTTTTAGGAATATGCGGCCTCCAATCTGCCTCGAATCCCTTCTTCTTCTTTTTTTTGCAAGGGTAGTTTATGTATAGGGATGTGCTAAAAAATTAAACATTCTGTAAGTGAGTTGGGTTGGACTGATTGGATAACAAAATTGACTAATTAATTTATTTTATTTGTTAGGCTGTGTTAGTTTGGTTTTTTTTTTTTTTTTTAAAGGTAGTCATATGTAGGGATGTGCCAAAAAATTAGACATCCTGCACCAACTCATCATATAAAATTATATGAAATTAATAAATTTTAACCAGCAGTGATCAATCAATTAGGTTGGACTAGTTGAGTGATAAAATTGACTGATCAATTTATTAATTTTATATATTTTTATACGATGAACTGGTACGAAATATTTAATTTTTTGGTACATCCCTACATATAACCACCCAAAAAAATAAAATAAACAAAAAAAATAATACACAAAGTCAAAAAAAAAAAAAAAAAGCACTTTCGAGGCAAATTCGAGGCCTCGGATTGGAG